TGGATACAATAACGCCAAAGTGCTGAAGCAAAACATGACGCTGAACCTGTCCGACCCATCCAGCAACCTGAAGCCGCACCTGAGGAACAAGAACGCCGACATCCTCACCTCCCCCGACGTGGGGCTCCTGAAACTGGCCTCGCCTGAACTGGAGCGGCTCATCATCCAGTCCAGCAACGGGTTAATCACCACCACGCCGACCCCGACGCAGTTCCTCTGCCCCAAAAACGTTACCGACGAGCAAGAGGGGTTCGCGGAAGGCTTTGTGAGAGCCCTGGCGGAACTGCACAACCAGAACACCATGCCCAGCGTTACCTCGGCTGCTCAACCTGTGAACAGTGGCATGGCACCTGTGTCCTCTATGGCCGGCAACAGTAGTTTCAATACGAATTTGCACAGCGAGCCCCCCGTGTACGCCAATCTCAGCAACTTCAACCCCAACGCACTCAACTCTGCACCCAGCTACAATGCAAACAACATGGGCTACGCACCTCAGCATCACATAAACCCCCAGATGCCCGTGCAGCACCCCAGGCTTCAGGCTTTGAAAGAAGAGCCTCAGACTGTACCTGAAATGCCGGGGGAAACTCCTCCCCTGTCCCCCATTGACATGGAGTCGCAGGAGAGAATCAAAGCTGAGAGAAAACGCATGAGAAACAGAATTGCGGCATCCAAATGCCGAAAAAGGAAGTTGGAAAGGATTGCCAGGTTGGAAGAAAAAGTGAAAACTTTGAAAGCCCAGAACTCAGAGCTGGCATCCACTGCCAACATGCTCAGAGAACAGGTTGCACAGCTCAAGCAGAAGGTCATGAACCACGTCAACAGCGGGTGCCAGCTAATGCTAACACAACAGTTGCAAACGTTTTGAAGAGACTGTCTTAGACGAGAACTGTGATATTGTTGTATAACTAAAACAACAAAAAAACCACAAAAGTGGAAGATGCATAAAGCTAATGGTACAAGCTGAAAGGCTGAGTCCTGCCTGCGCTCTGCAAAGCGCATGTGTGGAAAGACTGGCAAGCCTTCAGCTTGAGTTAGTAGTGAAGCGGCCAGCACCACTCCGAGAAGTGCTGTTCCTGCTCAGATGAGACGTCAGATCTTCGTTTAACATTGACCAAGACCTGCATGGACCTAACATTCGATGATCATTCAGTATTAAAGGTTAAACTGCAATAGAAACTGTAGATTGCTTTATGTAGTATTCCTTAAGAAAAAAAAAAGTGGGAGGGAGGTTTGTGGGAGGCTGATAAACAAAAGAGAACTATTCTGCCTGCCTTCAAGTAAATTGTGTATGTACATATCTTTTTTTATTTTATTTTATGAAAGTTGATTAATGTCAATAAACTACTTCATGACTTTGTAAGTTATTTTTATGTTGTTTATTTGGGCACTGCCCAGTATTGTTTGTAAATAAGAGGCTTTTTTTTTAGCACTCTGAGTTTACCATTTGTAATAAAGTATAATTTTTTAATGTTTCTGTTTCTGGAAAAAATCTAGAAAGTTATATTATATTTAAGAAAAATAAAATACTTAAAATGCATTTCCTCCTCACACTTTTTTTTGCTAGTAACTGAGTTGGGAAAATGCCCTTTATGCTGAACTCTGCAGGGTAGGGATTATGTGAGGTTTACTCTGTACAGGCATCTCCTGGAGAATGTGTGAGGAGGAGAGGGAGAAGCTAGATCCTGATCACCAAAGTAATACAACTTTTTGAGTTGTCCTGAAGCTGTAGTTCCCGAGTGTAACCTGACCAGCTTGCCTGCCATAGGCTAACTTCAAGGAGGCTGTAGAGGGGTAGAAAGCCAATGCATGAAACTGCTCCATAACTGGAGCAACTGGCTACTTGATCTGATATGCGTTTTATTAACGCCCTCAAGAAGATAAGGCAAGTGATTGTAGTTTAAAAAAAAAATGTGTTGTAGACTTCAAAAATAGAAATATTCCCCTTTATTCCTCTGTGTTCCTTCCTAGGTAGGTGATCCTTGGTTGTTGATATTTATGACAATGCTACTGTTAACAGTAAAATAATTTTATAACCCTTTCCCTTTTGGGTGTGTTAGTATGGGTTCTAAACCTTTTAGCAGTAGAAAAGCTGGGAACATGGAACCTAGTGAGAAATGAAAAGAGCAACTTGCTGAAAAACAGCAACTCCCATTGCTTGTTTTCAGCAACTTGCTGAAAATGTCAACTTCTCTGGCACTTCCCATGTATTTTTTTTTTTTTATAAAATGATCTTGGTTTTTAGTACAATGACAATATAAATATATACCTTAGAAACACGCTACTTAACTCATGAGGGAGGCAAATAATTGTTATACCAGGATTTTCAACACTGTACCCAATTCATTTAGTTTAATAAGAATGTATTTGAAGGGAGACCAGATGTTTTTCTTCTTGCTGTTTAGAGCCAAACAGCTAAGAGGAAATAGATGCTATCAAAAGACAGCCAGAAAATATTAGAAAGTCATGATTAGTGAATGCTAACTTTTTTAGAGTAGGCAGTCTTAAAAATATCTTTTTTTCCCTAAAATAGGAATAAGCATAATTTTAATGAAAGTGACAGTCTTGTTTAAGGTCCCTTCACAAGACAACGAGATAATTGGAGCTATATATACATACCTTTACTGTTATCAAAATGATATCCTGAAACTTGCAACTACTGTGGGTCAGTTCCTTACAGGAAGCATAGAATTATCATTCCTTTAACTATTTTTCCCCCTCATATTATATGCATTTTACATATGAGGGGTTGTTTTAATGTTTAAAATATGATAATATGTTAATCTCCTCCCACATCATAATCCAAGTGTCAAGGTAGGCACTGTTTAGATGGTGTATGCTGCTGTCAGAGGAATACAATTGTAATAACACCAACCAAACAAAGGGTTACTAGGAGGATACTGTAGTTTGCCAAGAGTACATTTTGCTGATGTCAGCAACCCGGAAGGTAAGTTGATTTTGACCATATGTAGGAATAGACAGCAGAGGGATAATACACAGCACTGCTGGGTGTGGTTTTACAGGGATTTAGCAAGTGCCAACTAGCAAAAGAAGCAGGGCAAGGAGATTAATTACCTGCAAAGGTGCATGTTTAACTCCCAACAGTGCTGGGTTATGGAAGAGATGTTACTAGCAAGCATTTTGCTTAATCACCTAATTACGTAAAAAATAAATACATTATATAAAATACTATGTTAATTAAATACAGCTGAGTGACAGTCTGCTCCACCCTATCCTAATACACACACACAGACATTCAGCATAGCAGTTACGTGTTTTCTCTCTCAAGTACGACGTTCTGTAGCACAGGCAAAAAAGTTACTGAGTAATAGGACTCAGTTAACTCAGATGCCCTTGATAAGTGGGCATCGTCTGACCGGCTGGCTTCTGTGACATGAGTTAACTTGCCTTGGTCCAGCTCAGGAGGTACTGGTGTCCAGTCAGAGAATGTACCATCAAGCAAGGCAGTTTTCAGTACCAGTTACGCAGTTTCACAGGGAGACGAGGGGCGATTTAGATGAACCCTGTCTTTGGTTCCACACTTTGTTTGACAATCAGGCCTAAGACAGGGCAAAGTAAGTTTATATTCCCTCCACCTCCATCTGTTTTGTAAACAGTGAGGTGGGCTATGAGCCTGTTGCTGTCTGTTTCACTTCAGCATAGATTAAAATTCAGCACTCAGTGTATCACTTGGTGATCAGTAAGCACAACTGTAATGGAAGACATGCATTGTATGCATTTGTATGTGGTGAAATGCAAAGTTTTAACACTTATTTAACTGCCAAGATTAAAATCACCCAATGCATTATGTGCCTTGCTTCTATAAGGAATAGGCAGTTCTCTCTGAGATTCAGAGAGAAACTCTTTTTGTTGCCCCAGCTGTACTCACAAGGGAATATTTTGCAAATAACAGCATTGTGAACATGTATTTTGTTTGGCTGTGAGTGTTGTCAACGGATTCAGGAAGTGAAGTCAGAAAAAGGCAGGGTTTCAAACAGGGCAGGCTACACAGAAATGCCTAGGCAAAGAGCCTCTAATCAGAACAACATGTCTGGGACACAGAAATATTAATTAGAATTTGGGTCTGTACTAAAACCAACAAAACCCTCACACTTCTACCCCATAAACAGAAGTGAGCTACAAGGGGGGATTTGACCATGATTACTCACTGAGTAATTTTAAATGCAAAGTACTTGTCATTACAGAAATAACAGTAACAATCTAACTTACTTTACAGTGGGAAAGAAAAACAATCTCAGGACACAGTAGCAGTTACTAATACAAGTCCCTATCCTTGAATTGCCTATGTGTCTATAGGTCTAAAAAATACTGACCTCAAAAGATGGCACTTCAAATACCAGCCTAAGGCAGCACATACCCGTTCAACGATGAAGTCTAGCGACCAAAAGATGCCTTAGCTATCTTTCCATTTTATAGGAAGCTGTCAAGAAATACAGACAATACCCCTCCAAACATACATAAAAAATGACTGACAGTTTTGTCCCATGCAGAAGCCTAAGAAATCCATTGTAATAATTACTGTCTGAAAAAGTAAATAGGCCTTTCAATGAAGTATATTGCTGCAGACGCATTAATGATCATATGCCCACAACTCCGCAGGAAGCAAAGAATCTAACTTAAAGACGCCCAGGTTACTGTACAACAGGCTTACATCATTTATCTAGTATCCCACAGCACATATGGACACTGCACAGTGGAGCGTCGAGCCTGAACCAGCGGCAAAATTGGAAGTTATAGAACTGGATCAGCACAGTGCTCTACCTGAGTGAATAACCCTGACCAAGGCTCTGGGGTTATTAGCCCAGGCAGCGTTACTGAATAGACTGCGGAGGCAGATGGACCAGCTCAGGCTGGAACAAGCTTGGGCATCTGTGGAGTACACCACGGAGTGTGGTGTACCATGTCCGTGAGAAGTACAAGGCAAAACTGAGAAAAAAAGAACACTTATCTTTAGTATCAAGCCTAGCACTTTCTCTGTTCTACATCTCTTCCTCTCTACCCCCGTTCCTGAGACTTGGGTATGACAGCATAGAGTTACCCACATCAAGAAACTAAAACCAGTTCAGGCAAAGTTTGCTGTGTAGAAAAAAAAAAGTTGCAAACATCATAAGCGAACACAAAATATTGCTAACAGGCAGATGGACAGCAAGGAAATAATATTTGAAATTACCATATACACAAGCCCATTAGGAAACAGAATATACCTTAGTAACATCTAGCAAAAGCTTAGGGACAGGACAAGGAAAGTAGTATTAGCCTTCCAACCGAAGAAAAGGAAAATTCAAAATGTAGGTGGTTTGCTTTTTGAGAAGGTAATTCTTCCAGAGCAGTGCTTGTTCTTTAGAACAACACACTCTGCCAACACCAGCGTCTGCACCCAAGGACTGGTGGCAACCCTAATTCTACACATATACATTACTGTTGACATGAACATTATCATATATCCCGTGAACAGAGAGTGGTGCTTCTTACAAAGAAAACTTGTAGAAAGTCATCATATAATTTACCGTGAAAGCCCCTGATTACTTAAACAGTTTTAGAGTGGTTTTGCACAGCAGGGCCCTCTTTTCCAATTTTGCACATTATTCTTTGCAGTACATTTTTGTTAAGGAACAATGGAACTACAAAAATAAAATTAGACGTTCATCACGGTCCCTTCTGTCCTTAAATATTCTGAAATATTAGAAACACAGTTACAGCGGGGAAGAATGGCTTTTTAAAAAGTCAATTGAATATTGAAAACACTGCTAATTTTCTTACTTACAGAGTAACAACAGACATTAGGGGAAAACAAAATAAAAAACTAAATCAGAAAAATGAGTAGAGTAACCTATTTTTGAAATCTCATACAGAACTCAATAGGTTATAACTGACCTGATTAATCCAAATCTCTATAAAATATATAGCAACTAACTCTGTAAACAAATGTGGAGGAAGAACTAATATTTCTTTTCCTCAGTCTCACAATTATTTTGTGTTTTGAGCCCTGTATTCTCCAAGCAATCTTTAGGTTGATTCCTTAAACAAAAGGACTGTCGACTTGCTAGAAATTCCTCCGAACTGTGAACTTTGTTCCTTATTCTCTTTTAAATTAAAAACAACTCCTGTGAAACCTGGCAGCATAACACCACCAAAGATGTGGGAAACAGGACACAATTCCAGCAGATGGAGCTCAAAAGCAAACAGTCCTGGAACAAGCTGCACAGATGCGTGCAACAGGAGCCTTTCCTCAGATGGTGTAGTAGCCAGAAAAGTCTTCAGATGAAACCTGCTATCATGTAAACGTACTAAAAAGAGATTAATTTTAACAGCTTCACTGAATTCTTAAAATAATCAATGCAATGAGTAGGGAGATCCTGCATCATTTTAATCACAGAATAACCACAGTTATTTCAGAGGACACTAAGGGTTCAAAACCAACTGTCCATGGCTATTTTTCTGAATTCTCATCCACAATGATGCATTGGTGGGCATGAATTCTAGACGTCTGCTGTTATCATGCCTTGTATGTCTCAGATA